ATTTTTTGCACCCCATATGCACCAAGCTTATTATAAAAACATACAATTTAACATACAGCATGTAAAACATGGGATGCAAATGAGGTCAAACTTTTAGGCAGTTTTATAGGGGAGAGGGCTCAACATGCTATGGAGTGAAACTACTAAATCTCAAATCGCACTATACCCTCCCATACCATAAATCGTCTATTAAGACCCCCCTCTCTAACAAGCCCCCCACCTTTTTCAGGGGAAGGAAGTTTTCAAGGCCTTCCTCTTTTTTAAGACTGCCCTGCTCCTCTCCCTTCCCTCCTTATTCATCACAACCAAATTAATAAATGATTTAGGGTTGTCCAGCCATCCAAGTTAAATTTTTCCTTTGGTGGCCATTTGGCGACCAACTCTTTAGGTTTATGCACCTATCAATGTAATGCCGGCGGGGGGGGGAGGCAGGGCATAGGGTGGGGATTTGACTTTTTTCAAAAATTTGCAATCAAATTCCTAGTCTGCTACACAGCCGTTTTTAGTGTCGTCACGCAACGCTCCTCCCCACTAACGGCTGCTGAAAGACACTAAAAACGGCTGTGTAGCAGACTATCAAATTCCCTGCCCACGGGCAAATCATTCCAGTCAAATGCAACCAAATTTCCCCACCCCAGGCTGCACATTGCTGTCAATCCCAAGGCAGAACCTAAGAAAGGTACAATAAAAATATCTCCAAATAAAACTCTGCAATCTTTTATAAACGTTCTGCATCACCAAAGATACATGTTCCTGTTACAGCTGCAATTATACGTTTTAACCATAATCCGTGTTACTCTGCGTAGAATACATAAACCTTTAGGACAAAGTTCTTAGTAAAGGGTACAAAGAAAGTCACTTTTATAAGTTTACAGTGATTGTAGCAAATGAGCCATACACTAATCAATTGTACTTGCAAAAATTTACTTGGTTTCTCTTTACTTCCGTTTACTTTGATACCACAGTATATTAAGAGGTTCAATTGATCAAAAACACGCTAAAACAAACGAAATTTGAAGACAAAACAGTGAAATCCACTCAGCCTTTGCTTGTTCTCATTGGCCTCCATGAATTCCTGATCTTTCTCAAACCGTACGGCGCATGCGTGAAGCGTGGAAGCAGGAAACATATGTTCGGTCTCAGTCTTTTTCGTCCGAGTCAGCAGTCAAATATCTCCACGTCAGGCGAAGAAAGATTCAAATATCCCCTCCCCCGGGAGAACAAGATCAGTCAAATGCCCTACCCCAGGGACAACAGAGACAATCAAATCCCCACCCCATGCCCTGCCTCTCCCCCTGCCGGCTTTACATTGATAGGTGCATTAGTCGCCAAAGGATTTTTTTATGAGCTAAAATATATATCATTAATTAAGTTTTAATAATCGGTTAATAATATTATTAATTTGGGCTTAAGAATGGTATTGTTCAGCCAAAACAATGTCTCTAAACGGCATTTACCGTATTCACAAGTGTACACGGTAACTTATAATCCATGTCAAGTAACATCCACGTCATTTCTTCAAGTATCAGTTTTCTCTGGATGCCAACTTGGTGACTATTTTCCGACTCAAGTTGCCAGTACCAAAATTTTAGTCGCCATGGTGCCTAAAGTGGTCGCAGCTTGGAGGATTGTTGTTACTAAGATTTCAAGTTGCCAGGTAAATACAACAAGTAGGAAGGGAATGAAACAGCTTGGGATTTCTTTTGGTTCTATATTTCTTCTATTTTCCTTTGAAAGTAGCCAGGGGCCACGTTCATGGTAGACAGGGGAAATCCCTGACCCCCCACCTCTTAATGAGAACCCTGAATGATAGACTGTATTAATTTATGACAACTGTTACAATAATTATTCATGTGGACTAATCTGGCAGGGTTGATTGAATGATGTGCTGAAAGTTCAGATTTATTTTGAAAACAGTATGATGGCCTGTTTTTGATAAATTAAATGAGACCCCTCCCTCAAATAAGCCCCCCTCAAATGGGCTTGATTTAAATAAGCTTCCAGGGGTTTTAATAGAATATTTACAGTATTTCCCATGTGCAGAGACTGACTGGACAGTCTTGATTACACCAGGAATTCGTCTGGGGGAAGAAGTTCAGGTATTTCATTGAAGCCTGGGATAAAAAACTTCCACCACTTTTCCCTTCTGTACAACAACAGCTTCCTTAGCAGCAGTTTCTTTTTTCGTAAACCCCTGTCTATTAAAATGTTTTTCAAAAATTCCCTTAAGCTGAGCTTCTGACAAAGTTTAAGAAAGTCAATCATCGACATGTCAATGACAAGAAGAAAGGTATGGAAACAAAGCATCACAAAGATAAACAACAGCACGAAGATGACAACAAGGAACATGACGGCATAATCACCGAGTTCAGTGCACACTTTAGGATTGTAAAAAGATGATCTGTAGTTCAACATACAGGCCATAAATGGAGCGTAGGTACAGTAAGCGGCGAACACAAGGCCCAACGAACAATGCAGCACAAATAAATAGAAGTAAGCGAAGTTGTTCAAACCAACGCAGTTATTAGTGAAGGGGCAGTGATGTGACATCAGCATAACGCAAGAGTCACAAGAGCTGCAGTGATGCGTTCCACGGTCTCTAACACGCGAACACTTGCCACAAAATTTTAGCGATTCAGTGTCAATGTCTGTGTCTTCTTCGAGTTCTTGACGCGTTTCTGGATATCCCGGGGAAATAATCATGGCTGCCAAATAGTTGAATACCATATTAAGCCAAAGGTAACTCGCAATTAAAGCATAACAAATGCCTTCGAACGAGGTGAACGGCTTGGCAACGAGGATGGGCAAAATCACCATGAAGAAAAACCAAATTGACGAGGCAAATATGAATAACACAGGAGTTATCTGGAATGCTTTGAGAAGTCTATAAAGCCACGTTTTCTTTGAACCACGGGGGAACAGAGTTTGTAAGCTGGTGATTATAAAAACGCCTTGGATTAGTCCCACCGACAAGATTATAATCCACACAAACGCCATTTTGAAACTCACGCGGAAGAGCCTGGAAAGGATCAATTCATACCCAGATTCTTCGCAGTGTCTGGAAACGAGGTAAAATTCCTGGTCACCAGGCGCACTCCCTTTGGCAAGCAGCGTCCAAAATGGCGGTAATTGTGGTGACTTTCTTTGTAACGACTGCAGTCGTTGTTTTTGGCGTACTTGCATTCCAGATCCTTCCAAGGCTGTTTCCAAAGCTCAAGACCTTCTTGCCGTCGCAAGCTGTTATAAGCTACTTCCAGCTTGTGCCAATCAGCGTTATTTTTCCGACTTTGTTATGGTTGTTCTTCAGTGTTTATCTTTACGCTCATGTCCCCGAGCAGCCGTACTCTTCGTTGCTAGGGTGGGTACACATCTTCATCACCAACTACATGATGGCGAACGCTGTTTTTAACTACTACATGACCGTCTTCACGTGCCCAGGATATCCACAACGCCATGACGAGTTCACCCGAGACAGACTTTTCGTGAAAACGTATCAAATGTGTATCAAATGTAAGCGTGTACGAAATGCAGGAACACACCACTGTAGCTGGTGCCATACGTGTGTGGAAATGATGTGCCATCATTGTCCTTTCACCAACAACTGCATTGGGCGCAGAAATTACGTTTACTACTACACATTCCTGACATATGCCTTCTTCGGACTGTTATATGCATGTTACCTCGCCTACTTCCCATTCGTAAATTGCATGTCCGGCCTTGTTGTACGCAAAATTCAAGAAACTATGTCATTTCTGCCCCAACTAAGTGCTCTCCGCGAGGCAGGGATAGTTCGCTTTAATATGTACGAAGATTTAACTGTTCCTGAAGGCTGCCAGTTTGTGCAGGAGTATGCTGTACTCTTTGCTCCCTGTGTAGGAATCACTTGCTTCATGGGGCTTTTGTTTGGTTTTCAAACGTTCCTTCTTCTTGCTGATATGTCCATTGTTGATTTCTACGAAAGCCTCTCCAATGCCACCTCTTTGCAGGAGCTTCTCCGAATCTTTCACGTCAGCATATTCAAAAGAAAGAAGTTTCGCTTTAAGAACTTAGTCCTTGGGAAGAAGAGTCATGTGTGGATGTTTTTTGTACCTTTCCCCAATAATGTGGAGAATGATTTGCCACTGAAGGACTTGTGAAATAGATGGCTAATCCAGATGCATCCTAGCAAAGAGTTTATATGATAACAGCATGGTTTATTTTTCTTTGTATTTCCTTTTGTGAGAGATGTTTTTCCTTCCTGATACCATTTTCCGAAGAAATAATAATTTATTTTTTGATTTGCCATCCCCCCAACCCCTGGCCACTCGAAATTATTATTCCCCATGCCTGGGAAGAAGCTATGGTCCTCTTTCAGAGGCTGTTCAGTTGGGAGCTTAAGCAATGACGACGGCATGGCAGCAGAAACGTCCCCTAAAAAGTGAATTCAGGCCATTTCAAACTCACACTCTCTTATTCCAACTCATTTAATTTGTCAAATGTTTGCGATTTTTCAGGAGTTGAATTCTAAAGGACTGTATCTAAGCTAGTTCACAAATACAAAAAGAAAATGGTTTTCTATGTGTTCACGTCCTCCATAAAACGTGAAATTAGGTAGCTTCACATCGTAGTCGTGCAGTGACGGTAAAAAAACCTACAAAAAAGCATGATGTACGTGCAAAGTTGTTTTGGCAATCTTAACCTATTTCTGTTTGGCCGTTCTCCTTGACATTGTCGTCCTTGTTGCTTAAGCTACCTATTGAGGGAAGGGAGGGACACCTCATTTACACAGTTGCTTTGATTTTTTCTTTGTGAAATGCTTATACCATGATCTTATAAGAAAACCCTGTTAATGGACATGTTGTAAATCCCAATGTGTCTATTTCTCTATAACATCACCTTGTTAATACGGTCCAGTATAAGCAAAACATGAATTTCAATGTGCAGGCAAGTGGCAAAAGGAAAATAATTTTCTTTTTCTAAACAAACAGTGTCTCATATGAATTTTTTCCCTTTTAATATAGGCATTGCCTATGTAATAGCACCCTCACAATAACAACAACAGAAGTGACCAGCTATGAAATATGACCCTAGCCCCTTTCGTCTTTTCAGAATAGCTTAAAATCTACGTGTTAGTTAGTCATAGCTGTGAACTATACCGCTAAGCAACCAATCTGCCACAGCTTTCTACCTTAGCAGATAACACCCTCACCAATCTGCATAATTCTTTGTATCATATTTAGCCTCATCCAATAATAATAATAATTATTATTATTGTTTATTATTTAAAATCATGTTGGTCTATATTTAAGTTGCATCATCTGTAGCATAATGGCAAGCTTTACACAATATTTAAGCTTAATAATATGTAGCAAAGGAATTTCTAAAATTATACAGATACAAGTGTCATTTACCATGTGTTAATATTTATTTTAGACAATGTTAAACAAATGTAGCTTGTAAAATACAGGCGCCAGTTGTTCAAAAGTTGAATAGTGCTTATCCACAGGATAGATTTCCAACCAGTGGATAAAATGTTAGAGAAAACAATAATATGTTATCTAGTGAATAGTGATTCATCCAGTGGAGAGCATTATCCATAGACAGTGCTTTTGGCCATAATTTTTCCTTCTGTAATGCATGGCTTTTTGATGTAGCATCACAGGAAAATTAAGTTTATCAATACTATTTATTGAGCTTTGAAATAGTTTCATGTTGAAAATCAGGGTATTATTGGTGGGTGAACACAGTTTTGGCAGTTTGTGAGTATATGTCATTTGCCAAATCATGGCAAGAGAAACGTGGCAGCTCACAAGCTGAAACTTGGCAAGTGAAAAATATACTGAGGAAAGATTTTGATTGACAGGTAAAATTTGACATTTTCGTAGTTTCCATGGCAACATGAACAATTGATTTCACTTTTTCTCAGTTTACATAAAATTCGCTCATTAGATTTTCCTATAAACTTGCACACAGCTTACTATAATTATTAATCATTCGCATTTGAAATTTATTTGACCAAATTTTAACAGACAAATTTATAGATAATAATATAATTGTACTGTCATTATTAATTGTGTCTGTTCAACTTCCATTTTAAAGTTCTCATTATTTAAAATGCGACAAAAGTAAAAATTTTGCCAAATATCACAAAATTTTAAGGAGTAGATTTTGAGAAATCCTCTTCTACGTACATTGCTTTTTTCGCCCCCATGTTTGTTTGTGTAATTTAAAACGCGCTCCCGCTGACCACCCGCAAAACTGTCTTTGGCCACATTAAGGAAGCATCTGGCTGCACACAAGAAAAAAACGTTTGGTACAAAGGGTAGTGTATTGGTAGTAATGTAGAAAAAACAAAGTGAAATAAAAAGATGTTATCTTCACTTTTGGGCTGAGATGGGATATATACTAGTAACTTAATTCCACTCATTCACCTGGGCCGGGTTGTTCGAAGCTGGGTTAAGATAACCCAGGGTTAGCACGAAATTTGAACTCAGCTATGAGAGCTTAAAAAGCAAATTCAGTGTAATTCTCTTTGCCTACAATTTGATAATTGGATACTCTAAAAAGAATAGAGGAAATTATCCGAGAGAGTGCTTTTGATAAAAAGATAAGGAATTCCGGGTTAAAATTTAACCCCAGGTTAGCGCTAACCGGCGTTTGAACAACTGGGCCCTGACATATAGGGTAAGTAAAGTGAAGAAAAACTTTTTTTCAACAGGGTGCTCCATTTAGCACTGGGGCTGGTCTCCGTAGGGGCCCTGCATCTTAAAAACTACTTTACTTTAAGGAATTGTATAATAATTTTATTACATTAATTTTTAAGAAGCCCAAAATACAATAACAGTATTTAAACCTTTAAAAAAACCTAAAAAACAATACAAAACTATACAAAAAAATTTTGATGAGAAAATGCCTTCCTCAGCAGCAGAAAGTCTGTACGCCCTCAGTTCATGGAAAATTTTCCGCCTTCTCCCGTTATGTTTGATGGTACTCTGTCCTGTAGTATCGTTATGAATGTTTGAAAACCTAGTAAAATATGAAAAACAAACAAACAAACAAAAAAACTAAGAAAAGCCCCAAACAATTTTTTTCAAGTACTCCCCCTTCTCTGAGAGCCTTTCTACTTTAGACAAAAGTTTTGACTATTCTGAATAATAATAATAATAATAATAATAAAATGGTGACATCTGTTGCACCCCAGCTTTTTTTCCAATGTTTACATCTTTGTTTTGTTATATTTTGACTTTTGGACTATTTTAGTTCATGGGAGTTTCGACGACTCATCCCATTTTGTCCATGTTTAATATTGACACACGCTACGTCTCGGCCGCCTGTGTTTTGAGCGACGCACGTCAACCGGAAGTGGAGATCTTCATTCCACTTCCGGATAACGTGACGGCTTTGTCCTATATAATCGCGTGACCTCGTTGTTGAAATGGGCGATCAACATCAGCTGGTCACGTATGCTAACTGTTTAGCGCGCAAGGGTCAAAATATCGCTTAGTGATTGGCTACTTCCATGTTAGCTATTCAAGTGAACAGGTTTCTGATACATAAATATTGCGACTGAAATAAGAATAGTGATAAAGGTCACTTAAAAAGATGGAGGTTCAAAGTTTACTGTAAAATCTCCGCCGAGAAGTATTTTGTAGTCAGTGCGAGAAGACGTTTACTGATCTTAAATAATTGCCCTGCTTGCACAGCTTTTGTCTTCACTGTCTCACCAAACTGCAGGAAGAAAGCGAAAGTCGTGACCTAATTATCTGCCCTGAGTGCCTCAAACAGTTCAAACCCCCTGCGAGTGAGATCTCAAAGATTTACCCACGAACGCTCGAATCAATAGTTTATTGGATGCAATCGCTAAGGTAAAGAGAAACGCCTCCGAAAGAAAGTGTGGAAATTGCAACAAAAACTCGTGTTGGTATTGCTTACAATGTGCCTCGTTCTTGTGTGGAGATTGTATTGGTTTTCATGACAAAGACAAAGCTAAAGAAAAACATCACGTCATGGCCTCATTCAAAGACAAAGACCCTGAAACACTGCAGCAAGCAGCGAGACAGCTCAGCCCCGTGCTATGTTTTGGAGAGATCGGCTTCATGGGACTCCCAGAACTGGAAGACACCTCTGGAAAGTTTATGCTTCCCTGGGGCGTTGCAGTGAATGAAGAAGATGAAATAGCCGTCACCGATAGTGGGCACAATAGAGTGCAGGTATTTAGGAGTGATGGCTCTCACTTGATCACGTTTGGTTCCCGTAGTGGTTTAAAATGTGATAGAAACGGAGAATTTGACTTTCCTACTGGGATTGTTTTTGACAAAAAAGGCCATATTATAGTGGCCGATTCTTGCAATCACCGAGTTCAAATTTTCAGTGGGAGGGGTGATTACCTGAGCCAATTTGGAAAGGAAGGGAGCCTTGACCATGAGTTGATGAAGCCTTATGGCTTATCTCTAGACAGTGATGGTAACATTATTGTTGCTGACACAGGCAACAAGCTGATTAAGTTCTTTACTCCAAGTGGTGAATTTATCCGCAAAATAGGCGGGGACGGGATACTGGATAATGCCCATTACTGTGTTCAACAGGGAAAACACTTTATTGTGTCAGACATAGATCACTGCATAAAAATATTTGACCTCAAGGGAAATTATTTATACAAATTTGGTAAGCAAGGGGAAGGAGATGGGGATTTCAAATCACCTCGTGGCTTGTTAGTGACCCAGGCTGGCCAACTGGCTGTCTGTGATTCAGATAATCATCGTGTTCAAGTTTTCAAGCAGAACGGAAAGTTTTTCACAAAGTTTGGCAAGAATGGTAGTGAGATAGGAGATTTGTATTACCCGACCTCATTAGCAGCTTTAAGCGATGGAAAAATAGTCATAGCTGATATGTACAATAATCGCATTCAAATATTCAAGTAGACAAAAGCCCTAATCCTACTGTGACAGCATTTATTGCAGATTGTCATATTCACACTAGCCTGTTCCAGGCATTCAGGTAGTGGAGAGCAGTGCAAAGTCAGAGAGTGGGGAAAAAATTAAGAAGAAAGAGAGGGAGAGAGAGAGGTCCCCTTGCTCTCATCCCTTATCCCACCCCCTCACTGTTTTTTGCTCTGCTGACATCTCTTTGCACTGTCCCCATGATCTGAATGCCTGGAACCAGCTATCAAGGAGCATAAATAATTATAGAAAAGGAAATATTATAATACAAAAATATTGAGAGATATAACACAGTGACAGTGGATCAAGGTCTTGAGGAAGGAGACTCTGAGAGGGAGGGTTCCACTACCATTTTTCTTAATGCCTCAGCATTGTGGACTTGGCTTTGGCTGAAAATTTACCATGTACCGGTAAGTCCTAAGAGTCAGTAACATTAATTCCTCCTAATAATATCAATACATAATCAAGTAGGAAGGTTACGAGAATTGATGAAATGATCATCAAAAGGAAAATTCTTTTATCTGTTAATAACATTTTCTCAACTAACTTTTCAATTTGTATGTGGATACTGGGGATTGAAAGGTTAAAAGGACAGCTGGAAGGATGGTCTTAGTATCCCAGGGTCCTCCTCAAGACCTGCCACTGTCATATTAAAAGTGAGTTATAAATAATATTCAAAAAATATCACAATAAGCTATCCTAATATTTTTATAAGGACATGTAATTTTGTGTTTCATTGACATGTCTATATTTAAGCCTAGTAAGCTATCAACAGAATTATTTATCTACCTATAAATCTATTATTCTATCAATATACAGTTGAAACTTTCTCTTAATGGACACTTCCACACAGCAGCTAAACCCTGTAGGGTGTGACTAACTCTGAGGGTCTTCCTTTACACTGAACGTGGGCAGCAAAAGTCAAGGTTACTTTTCTGCTCTGGAAGGTGTCCACTTACGGAAGCTTTCACTGTACACCCAAAATAAAAGAAATAGCAACTATGGCAAAAGGCAGCAAGGAAAGTCCACAAATTAAACAATGGGTATCTTACAAAACAATATTGACAATATTAAACATCTAAATCACTTCTCTACTTATATAATATTATTGTTATGTCTACGAATATTTATTCTTGACTTTGGAAGTAATAATTTTTTTGTAGAAAAATCTTAATGATGCTTATTAATAATTAGACCTTGTCTAATTAGATTTTACTATTAACGTTAAGTAAGTAAGGATGCATATGTATAATCTATGGCTACTACTTGACGTAGGATTAACAATAATAAATTAAAGGATATTTTAATGTTCAGCTGTGTTTATTGTTTGATTGTAACATTATTAGCTGAGGTAATGGGATTGGGAATGGGGTTTTGCCTGGGTTCTCAATACAAGCCGGCACCCGGCGATTGATCGCCACCTACTTTGGAATTGGTAGCCGGTTACTTTGCATTCTTTTTGCTGCTTTTCTCTGTTTTGTTTGTGCTTAAGTCTTCTGCCTATCCCTTTCATCTGATTTTGAGTTTTCCTTGTCATATATTGTGCAAAATAATCAAAACAATCGAGACCAAATAAGTAAACTTGCTATGCTTCCTTACTTAACTACCGCCATGTTTTCAACCACGTAGACATCCGAGTATGCAACACTGACTTTGGCCCAGCCCTTCACGGTAAAACATGGTTACTTCGGGAACATGCCTCAGACTCCTTCCTAGGTTTAACGCCCCCCTATTAGTCACAGCCGCCTTGTTAAGATTGGGCAGATGCCTACTACAAACCCTATTGAGAACCCTGTTTTGCTTAAGAAGATGAGATAGCCTTTCTTGCCCTTGTTAGAACACCAGAAGCAACAAGAACCCGTTTTTTTCTCATCTAAAGTTTTGAGAGGGGGACAATAAATTTAAAACTGTGTATGACAAGGCTATAACAGAATGGCACCCTTGACTTTTTTGTTTACTACATGTATCTATTTTCAAAATCTTTGTAAACAAAATTGCATTCATATTATAAATCAATCAACTACTGCAATCCTCAAGTCCATACTTTTCACTGAGAACATTAACAGTCTGGTTGTAGGCACTGGAAAACAGGCAAAACACAATTATTGAACTGGATGTAAACCAATATCTTATCCATAATTTCTATGGTTTAATACAATATTCTATGGCTTATACAACAGCAACATATTTTCAATAGTGAGATGTGTTCGATCTTTCTTCTCAAGTTTGGCCCTTGTCAGGAGCTGCCCTTATACAGCAGCCCTTCAATATAGTTTTCTTCCTCCTACTACGCAAGGTTTCAAGGCTTTTTGCCTTCTTTAGTCTTGTATCAATAAAAAATGTGTCTGTAGCCTTCTTTTCCAAGACCCAGGCCTAAATAAGGACACCATGGCACGTTACATTGGTGTCTGTATTAACCCATTCGCCCCCGGAGCTGCCCGTGTCCATGTACTCTCTACCACTGCTTGTGACATCATCAGTTGTAACACTGACCTGAAAATTGTCATGAAAATCTTGTTCCACTACCCACCTACCTTTTCTTTCACCTAATCCTAAGATCCTAAAAGCTTTCCTAAAAACTTTTCCCACCAAAATAAAGCCTACTAAATGCCCAGCAAAAGAAAAAAAATGAGGCAAGAAAAGCGAAAAAAGAGGGGAGGAGAGAAAGCGAAAAGTAAAATCAAGACTGCTGTGTCACTTTTAAACCCAAAAACTATCTCGCAATTTTGCTTTCTGCGCATGCCCGAACCTCACAAGCTGATATTTTGCAACTGGATCAGAAGGCCGCGAAGTGTATGACCTGCAAATGGATTTGTGGTAAGTTTTAGCTCTCAACAGCACGACGGTGACCAGAAAACCACTTGACAAGCTTCAAAAGGCATTTTTCGGCAAAATCTTTAGGAGCGAATGAGTTAACCGGGTCCCACTGTATTTAGAATAATCATTATTATTATTCATTCAAAATATTTCCCCGATTCTGATAGGCTAAAAGCACACACATAATTCACTATAACCAGTTGCCGATGACCAAATTTGGAAGAATTTTGTGTTTAGCAAGGAAATGACGTCAAAAATGCAGCGTTTTTGCAGGCTAATGCACTGTTAAACGAGAAGACCTGGGGATGAGGTTGAGTTGTTTTGGTTGTGGAAACAAAAACGGAGGACATTTCACTCATTTCTAGAGTAAGAACTAGGCGAAATAACAGCTAAAAACATGGCAAGAACAGCAAGAAGACAACTCGAAGGGTGACATCTGCTATTTGGAGAATATTTGCGGAGCTGAACAACCCTAAACGTGCACTATCGAAGATGAACTTAACATCGATGGATCGATGGAGGTAAGCATGTTTTAGCCATTTTTTTAAACTAGGAATTATTTTGAACGAATAATAAAACAATTATTGAATTCAGCTTTCGTATCATATGAAGAATTATGGAGATCTTGGAGGGTGTTATCCGCCTCGGCCTATGACCTCGATGGATAACACCCTCCTCGATCTCCATAATTCTTCATAAGATACTCAGCCTCATTCATTAATTGTTAAATAATTCATTATTGTCCACAGAATAGGCCACTTCTGAGTTCCGAAAACCCTCACTTTCAAAACGAGGTCAAGTATGAACCTTTCTTGAGAAAATGGGGTGCATCACTTGAGACGACTGATGCAGTTCTAAATCTCAAAGGAAGGCGTCACATTGGGATGCAGGACTAGTACAGCATCACAGTAGTTTTTTGGCATGAGAGATTTCATAATACCATGAGTCTAGTACCTAGGACCTAGTAGTTTTACGGTAGACAAGAATACCACGACTGTAATAAGGGTTACAGACGGATACAATGCTAGTTTAGTCTCATTCTCTCTTGGCATCGCAGTAGCAACATTCACTTTTATTGCACTAGCAATCATTTCCCTCCCTCCCTCCCTGTAGGGTTTTGTTTTGTTCTATTCATAGACAGTGTCATCACTTTTATTATTTGATTAAGGTTGTTTTAATTTTTCTTTTTAGTTTGGTCTTTTGTATTTGTGGGAGCACTTTATTTGTATACTAAATATTACCTTTTAGTTAGTTACCATGTATTGAATTTTGTAATGATTAATAAAGGCTGTCTTGTATCCCAAACAATGCCTGGATTTTTGAGTTTTGTTGATTTAGGAGTCTTATTTGCATGACAATGAAAAATCACTTTCATATCAAAGGCTCACAGAGCACTTAACCTCATTTTGATACAGAGGCCCAGGGAAACTCAGAAATGGCCTATTAAAGGAGGTTTTTAAGTTCAGAGAGAGATAGTAAAGTTGACCATCACAAAACTTTGAATTTGGTCATAATATTTGACATCATTATTTTTAAATTTTATAGAAAGATTATGTTGTGAAAATGTTATTCAGAAGACTGTAGTAAACTGTAAATTGTATGTATCATGCGAAGCCATGTACAGCTGTATGATAATGAAGTACATAAGTAAACATCACACAATATTATTACAATGTTCAGCTTAGTACCTTCCTTCTCTGATTATTGTAAATTTGCCAGGAACTGATAAATTAACCACAGTTGAGCCTTTGCGACATTGCTCAGTCAGACCTATCACGCCACCATCAAGGATTAGATCCAGGTTGGACCAAATATCTTTGAACTCCTGGAAGGTAATTTTCAAATTATCATCTAGTTTTATAGTAAGCTCTCTCTACTTTGGACACCTTTAGGACCAGCACTATATATCCATCTTGGAGAGATAATTATTTGTCTTACATAGAATCAACAATAAATAGTAACCACACAAATTATACTAAAATAAGATCAGGCTATTATAGGTTATTAATCTGCTTGCAAAACTCTCTTTTTAGCTGTTAAGAAAGTTGTCTGCACACCATGTAAGCCCATCTCTCTCTGTTGGAATCACAGAATTGAGAAACCCACGTGCTTTTTCCATATAAAGTTTTACTGTTGTTTGTAGTAGTCAATTATAAAATATTGTTACATTTTATCAAATTCAAGCATAAGGTTTATTTACAGCAACCTAAAACCCATTTTACCTCTCCTAATATTCTTCTCTGGTTATTAAAGTAATAGAAAATGTTAGTCAACTAACCTCAATTTTTAAACTGCTTTGTCCTACCGTGCTGACATTTGCACTTGTCAGAGCAAGTGGTTCATCGCAAGCTAAGCACAGCTGCCGTACAAAATCATGATCTGGAATTCTAATTCCAACAAGACGTGTGGTGGGGTTCAATCCTGGATTCAATTCATCGGTTCTTTCAAACACAAGAGTCACAGGGCCAGGAAGTAAATCTTGAAGAGCCTCAGGACTAATGGTTACTTTTCCCCACCTAAAAACATTAGTGAGAGACAACACAATTACACCTTAAAGTCTGTATGTTGTTTAGGCTAGTTACATGCACGTGGTCAGCATCTAAGGATGAATCTGAAAAATTTAAAAACAATTAACATTAACCTTTTCACTGCAATAGTGGAGAATGGTGTCTGGTGGATCGGAGTCTGAATATAACTTTTGAGTCCGTGGATGGTCAAAATTTTATACATGACCACTCAAATGAAACCCTTTTTGGCAACAATTTCACATGGTACTTGCTTTCGGCCACTATCGGGAGCAAAAGGGTCAACTTCTGTGTGTAAATATCTTAACAAAAGTGGTAAATTATAACCTCAGAAGTGAATAAACAGGATGTAATATACAGTGTACGTTCGATTAAATGAACAAAACAAAGACCTTAATATCACAAACGATATTCTTCACCACAGTATAGGCATTTTTAATTAATTATTATTATAGAGAAAACCTTGACAAAACAAAACCTTGTTATATAGAGAACATATTTTGCCAGTCCCCTGGTTCTTTGTTATTTTGGGGTTACACCGATATTGTCATGTCACAAATGTGTGAGCAAGAAATTACAAATAAAAATAATCTTGCATCCTCAACATGTCATTTAAACCTTTACAAACTTTAGCTTGTAGATGCCATGGAGGCTTAAGGAGAGCAAAAAATGAAAATACTACTGTTAATTTCAATCATTTTCACAAAAACTTTATTATTTATTTTGTGTAAGGCCCCTTTCAAACATCAAACTTTTCTCGCACAGAACTAATTCCTGTTTGCATGGGTTGTCCTAATGATAAAGTTCAAAAGTTAATTCAGTTTAGTCAGACCCAATTAATAATCACACTCTACTATCCTTATCAGTCAAAATAAATTTGATTAATTTATGCATTAGATTTGGTACATGAAAAGTTCATGCTTTGAAATGAAGTTGCACAACAGTCAAAACTCCAATGTGGGCCACTCAAACTCAGATAAGATATGTTGGCCTTACTGATACAACAGAGTGCAAATAAAGAATTGTCCGATAGCCCAGGGCTAGTGGATTTTACTACCAGGCTAGTGAAATCTGTTCTTAACTTGCCCAATGGTAGCCTGAAATTCATCCGATTGCTTCGAGTCGTTTTCTCCTCTCAACAACGTCTGAATCGACCGGCCGTTAATGCCATCCAGTGACGTCACTCACTACCCGAAAACCGGGTAGTGATTTTGATTGGTTGATTGTCTAAACATTTGCATAATTATGTATAATTATGAAAAATTTTAGCGGGATTGTTGCTTGATATTCAGCAGATCGCATCCCTGGCATTCTTTCGTTTAGTTCAAACATTTCGATAAGCTTAATCTTTATCTTAAACAGCAAAATTGCCCTTGTCTTCGAAACTGAAATGTTAAATGGAACTGCGAATGAAGAATCATTGCAGAGAGTCAGAAGGTTTTTCATTTAGAGCCGCTTTGTGGTTTCGGCGGCCAGTGGTTTTGTTTACGCGAAGTTTTCTGAGATCATTGTCATAATTCGACCTTCTTGCTATTTTTACCGTCAAGTGTAATGATTCTATTAGCTTTTCTTTCTAATCTCCTTGTTTTTTTTCTTTGTAAAGGACCAAGTAGCTTCTTTTCAATTAAAACAAATCATTGTGTTTTTGAACTATAAAGTGTTCCGTGTGTGTGTTTACTTCATTGCCTGATTGCGACCGAGTTTGATTATAGAATTTAGTACAACCGGTTCAGAGTTGTACTGCATGCAGTTGATAGTTTGAACATTAAACATGAATAAAGATCAAAAAAATCAATTAGTTCTGTATCATGCAGACATTTTCAAACGATATTTCTCGGTTTGCCACTTGAAAATCGTGTTTTACTTTTTGCATGAATTAAAGCTGGACGGCATTAATGGCCGGTCGATTCAGACGTTACTGAGGGAGTAATAACGACTCGAAGTAATCGGATGAAATTCAGGCTAGCCCAATGGGCAAGTGAAGTTTCTAGGGAAATTCAAATAATATTATTGCAGAAGAACTGTAATCACTCCTGCACATAAAAAATATTTCAGGCTAGGTAAAATAACTTTTGGGCTAGTACATGCTACCTACAGCTTGCTATCAGGCTGTAAAACTGATTTTTCTTTGCACCCTGTACAAACGTCAGTCTTTTTATGTACTTAACAGAAGGAATTAGGTTCGGTGTACATAGACAGTTTTGATGTTTGAACTGGGCGGTAAGAATATTTTGTACCTGGGGCTACCAAGCTAACTCAAATGGTAAACAAATCAAGTTAGCCTGTTATCCCAGCTTTATTTACTCTAGCAACCGTATTTATCTCATCAGCTAATTTATAACACTGACAAGAAGATTGAGATTGCGATGAAGGCATGAATCTTTTAAACCACTGAATAAAGTTTCTATTATTTAAGTAATGATCCAAGTAAGGTGGATAGCAATTTCTTTTGTTATGAGGCAATGGTGCTTTCCCCACATAGGAATGTTCTCATTTTTACACAGAGAATGCATAAACCTACATGAAGGCCGTTTACGCAATAAAATGCATTTACACTCCACTTTGAAAGGGTGTTTTTTTTGTGTTAAAAGATTTTGACCAATCACAACAGTTGAAAACAATAGCCAAGAAAAATTTACAATTTTACATGTTCCCCACATAGGATTTCTTTGTTATTCAAACTGAGACCATATTTTGTTATATGGAAGATGGTTGGAAAGTAAGGATGAATATATGTACCGCTTTATGAAGTTTTGTTAACTTTTGCTGTTTAAGCCAATCAGAAGTAAGTACAGACAATAGAAAAGTTAGCACCTTTTTTGCATTCCAAAATGTTCGTTGCCGTTGTTGCTATCGTTCTTATCTGGACTGTTTCTTAACTTTGTTATATTATATTATTTTGTTAATCCTGGTTTAGGTACCCTTGTTTACATTGAATTCTCAGATGTATATTTAACCCTTTAAACCCTAACATCAAAATTCAAATTCTCATTTGTTATTCCTATACGTTTTCAATAGAAGTAGTGGGGAGAATTTGTTGAAGTATCAATTTAGATTCATCTTGTGTGATCATGTCCTTAATTCTCATGACCACTCTGTTTTATAAAGCAGTGATATTACATGGAGAAATTTGACGCTGATCACTCTTAGGGCTTAAAGGGTTAAGGCATTAGGTTCACCTGCTATTTGTGCCTTCACTGGTTGAAGCAGTTTCATTTGCTCCTTGAATTTTTCCCAAAAAATGCATTTGAAGTTAGTCCTGCCACTTGTGAATTAACTACCCAAAATGTTGTTTACAATAAGAGAGCAGGCACAACACTGGCTTTTAATTATGCTGATGCAAAACTACACATTTCAAAGTTTGGGAGTGCACAGAAAGAAAAGATAACCTTTCCTCCTCCCTGCATCTCGTGCTCTAATCTTCCTGGGAGCATGTCTTTTTTTCTGGGCTTTTACCAGTCTTCAGGTGAATGAATCAGCATAAAGTTTCAGATTTTTTTAAAACAAATAGGTTTTGCATTTTTATAACTTACTTGTGAACATCTTCCAGTCTTCCAACACAGATAGCAACAGGCTTCTCTTCATGTCGCTTCTTTATTTCATACAGTTTGTTAACAGCTTTAGTGGACTGCGCAAGTGCTGCAACACCATATATGGTATCCGTAGGGAGGGCTATAACATTTCCTCCTTTTAGGGACGTGACAGCAACATTCAGAATGCTTTGCTGTGTTGAGTCATTGTCTAATAATATATTGAGAAATAAAGTCAAACAAGAAATAAAATGGTGTTGATGAAACACTAAATTATGAAAAAAAGGAGAAGAGAAGGCTTGAATTCTAAGTCCCAGTATCCAAATACAAATTCTCCAGACTGATCTCCATAAATTTCCTTAAAGAATTAGTTGAGAGAATTTGGTAAAAGATCAAAACATTTTTCCTGTTGGTGATCATTTCATTACATTGTAATTCTCCCAACCTTTCTTTGAATTATGTATTGATATTATTAGGAGAAAAATGATGTTGGTCACTTTGGCAGAATAACTGACCACTTGTTTGAACGCTTTAAAGCATGATCAAAGCATAACAGAGCTAATACAGTATAAAATAGGCAACTTTGGTCACTTAAAGGGAAGTAAATAAGTGGCCTCAGCAGTTCTGATAGTTTCTTTCGCTTTATGACAAAAAAAACATAAATTATATATAACAAAAAGCTGCAATTTGCAGTAATAGAATAGTCGGCTTAGTGTTAGGAATTAGGAACTTTCCATTTCAGAGTCCCATTAGTATAAAATGGAGAATTCATAAAACACGATAAAACTTATTTTAAAAGCACTGGACCAAACTAAACTAAACTTATTACAGCCGGTTTCGTCACACAATAATAAAAAAACATATCTCTAGGCACACGTAATTGAAATTCTCTAGTAAGCTAAATAAACTTACATCTAAATCTGACACATCCTTAACTCAAGTTCCTGATAAAATTATTGAGCTTCAGTCTTTTCGGTTGCTTACCTTGCGACCGGCTTTGGTTTATTGGTGAAAGCTTTAGAATTTGTACGGAGGAATTCATTGTGTTCGTTTCTCTAGACTTGTAGAGAATCACAGAAATATAGTTTTGAAATGAAAGAGGGTTATGAGATTGCCTTAACAGCAAAACCCCAAAGATTCCTTATTGCACCACGATGTTGTGGATTGCACGTGTCGCCGCCATTTTCTTCCGACACTCGACCGAGGGAGATTGGTAACGAATGCCTGTGGTACCACAGGTCTCCCAGTAAGTTTGTAGCCTGCGAGCAGTCTCATATGTGCGAGTTCGGGGAAAATTTTTAGCGGCCAATGGGCCGAGGAAAAGTGACCAAGAGAGAACAAGGAGCGAAACATTTTTAAAATCAGGGAGCTTAAACAAAGACGTGTTGAGTGCTTTTGCATTCTTGGATAATGTTTTTGTCTAAATTTTTAGGGAAGATCGTCTCGACAAGGGTGAAGACTCTAAACATTACAAATTTGGTAGCGTCAAGGCATATTTTAAAAAGGGTAAAAGGCCTTACTTCGGGTTAGCGCGAGTTGAAGTTTTGTCGTGTATGTTTTTCTAGGCAACGCGCAGTCTTCTAACAATAGAAAACGTATGAAGGATGGTTTTAAACTGGAAGTAATACTTAATTCAGCGATTTTGATGGTGACGTGATTTACTTCTCTTAAGAGAGGACAAAGGGGACAGAGAAGGCATCCCCCATACACACCCTATTCTATAGGTAATTCGTCTCGAGTTATTTTTAGAATCGGGATAAAGTTACCTCGCGCGCTGCGTGAATGTTTCGTGGAGGTTTCGCATGACTAAACGCCGTGCAAAACATGTCGGGGGAAAGGCAATGAAAGCGTAAAGAGATCGAGAGCATTTCTGAATATTGAAGCGAAATGAGTGGGCGCTCACCTGGGAAAAGGGAATCGCTGGACTCTCTGACAACCCGTGAAATCAGTTTAACTCGAAATTGTCGTAACCTCAGCGCTTTAATAAAATGAGAAATTTCGCCGGTCTATTGAAACCGGTCGTTTGTACAATAAAGCAAGTAGGACGCCAAGTGTTATTTTTGTTGAATAATAAATACAAGACTGATAAAAGAATAAATATCAAGCCAGAAATTGCTCTCTTCAAACTGTAAATTATAAATGATCCTGAGAGACTATTCAGCGTGTTAAGGATTTCCCTGCTGTACTGTTAGATCTATACAAGAGAGGAACAGCGACTCTTTTTAAATTTCCATTTCGCTGACAACGCTATAGCATTACGAGCCGCAAGGTCGATTTTCGTGCACGCACCAGGGATCCTTAATTTCCATGGAGATACCCACAAACTGGACTCAAGTAACTACAAGGCGTTAGTCTTGACACATTTCCTTGCGCACCTCAGGTGTTCACATTAATCGCTTTCTGTCAGTTCATCTGTCAATAAACTCATTTTAGGACAGGACACAAATTTGCGTCAAATATCAGAGCTTGTCTTCTGCGCGCCGAATTTATACCATCGGAGCGAGATATTTTAACTCAGCTATGGTTCTCGTCAAAATCACTTAATGAAAATACTTAAATTCATGGTTGGTGTTAAAAAAGGGTCTTGGTGCAAGTCTTGGAAAAAAAAAATATTTTTCGTTTCTTAAGCGAAAGGCAAAATCTAGCGCTTTATGAAGGTCGAATTCGAACCCTCCAAAGTAATAATTATTCGGTACGTTACCTGGTAAGTTCCATATTGTCGCCGAAATGGTTTCAAAAGTTCAACGTGAAGAGTTCTGGATGTTATTTCGCATTATGTCCGAAGGACAGAAACTGTGTTCGCCGATATAAGGTAAGAGAGACCTTTATTATTTAAAAGGTAGAGGAGCAGCTTGTTATGGCTCTCGCATGCGGAGTTCGAGCACATCGGTGAAGCCGGTTTGATGACACTGAGGAAAACAGAGGAAAATATTTACTTGCCTTTGGTATTGTGTATATCCTCGATCACTATACAATAACGCACAAATATTATAATTCAAAGGGCATTTACAACACGCGCCAAAAGAGCCGTGATCCCGCCAAAATGCTCGAACCATCTAACAGAGTGTAAAAAGGGGGCTGGTAGGCAACACATGACTTTTACCTCGTGCCAAAATGCTGCTTGTTCCAAAAATTGTTTTCTCTGGTGGGTATGTTATATTCTGGGTTCTACTCTTTGAATGAGTAAATGTGAATTTTGCCGCTTGTTTCATACTGAGAGGTCATGACACGCATATTGATTTTCTGCGGTTATTGTTTCTGGTCGGCATGATTTGTCCTCTGATGCAAGAGCACTTTCTTCGACCTCTTTTAAAACGTAAATCTCTTCCTTTGCGGCTAAATAAGAGTTTTAGGTTGTTTAGTCTTCTCCAAAGTGCTTCCTGGATCTGAATAGCTAAAGGCGATATTCTTTTATCCGTGAATGTGATGGTTTCCTTCGATTTATGTCACGCTGGGCCCAGCTCGTTTAGTATTTTCTGCACGATGTTAGATTTTCACCGAAAGTGATTTACAGATTCAAATTTCGAGGAATGGATTATAGGAACGCATTTTGTAAAGAGAGATTTTGTAAGTAAAGAGAACTCGGATCCTTAAATCGATCGTGTTTTAGCTAGCCAATTGCAATTTTCATATCCTGTGTTAGTTCGGATAATTCAGTAGGTTATTCTCTCCTCTCCCTCTTAGCTTACAGGCGGCGCGCCCAAGTTTAAGAGGTGAAGAGAGATTTTTAAAGAGGGAAAAACTCGTAGATTGAATCGTCATGTTTTAGCTAGCTAGCCAATTGCAGTTTTTATGAGCTATGTTAGTTTGGATAATTCAGTAAATTTTTCTCTCCTCTCCCTCTTAGCTTACAGGCGGCACGCCCAAGTTTAAGAGGTGAAGAGAGATTTTTAAAGGGGGAAAAACTCGTAGATTGAATCGTCATGTTTTAGCTAGCTAGCCAATTACAGTTTTCATGCGCTGTGTTAGTTTAGATAATTCAGTAAATTTTTCTCTCCTCTCCCTCTTAGCTTACAGGCGGCGCGCCCAAGTTTAAGAGGTGAAGAGAGATTTTTTTCAAGGGTAAAAAACTCGTAGCTTGAATCGATCATGTTTTACTATCTAGCCAATTGCAGTTTTTATGAGCTATGTTAGTTTGGATAATTCAGTAAATTTTTCTCTCCTCTCCCTCTTAGCTTACAGGCGGCACGCCCAAGTTTAAGAGGTGACGAGAGACTTTTTTCAAGGGCAAAAAGCTCGTAGCCTGAATAGACCATGTTTTACTAGCTAGCCAATTGCAGTTTTCTTACGCTGCGTTAGTTTGGTTACTCTCTCCTCTCCCTCTTGGCTTTCAGGCGGCACGCCCAAGTTTAAGAGGTGAAGAGAGATTTATTTAAATTGAAACACTCGTAGCTTTAGTCGATCATGTTTTATTAGCTAGCCTATTGCAGTTTTTATACGCTGTGTTTGTTTTGATAATTCAGTAGGTCATTCTCTCCTCTCCCTCTTAGCTTACAGGCGACGCGCCCAAGTTTAAGAGGTGAAGAGAGATTTTTTTCAAGAGTAAAAAACTCGTAGCTTGAATCGATCATGTTTTACTATCTAGCCAATTGCAGTTTTCATGCGCTATGTTAGTTTGGATAATTCAGTGGATTATTCTCTCCTCTCCCTCTTGGCTTACAGGCGGCGCGCCCAAGTTTAAGAGGTGAAGAGAGATTTTTTTCAAGGGTAAAAAACTCGTAGCTTGAATCGATCATGTTTTACTATCTAGCCAATTGCAGTTTTCATGAGCTATGTTAGTTTGGATAATTCAGTAAATTTTTCTCTCCTCTCCCTCTTAGCTTACAGGCGGCGCGCCCAAGTTTAAGAGGTGACGAGAGATTTTTTTCAAGGGCAAAAAGCTCGTAGCTTGAATAGACCATGTTTTACTAGCTAGCCAATTGCAGGTTTCTTACGCTGCGTTAGTTTAGTTACTCTCTCCTCTCCCTCTTGGCTTCCAGGCGGCACGCCCAAGTTTAAGAGGTGAAGAGACAAATATTTAAATTGAAACACTCGTAGCTTGAGTCGATCATGTTTTACTGGCTAGCCTATTGCGGTTTTTATACGCTGTGTTAGTTCGGATAATTCAGTAGGTTATTCTCTCCTCTCCCTCTTAGCTTACAGGCGGCGCGCCCAAGTTTAAGAGGTGAAGAGAGATTTTTTTCAAGGGTAAAAGACTCGTAGCTTGAATCGATCATGTTTTACTACCTAGCCAATTGCAGTTTTCATGCGCTATGTTAGTTTGGATAATTCAGTGGATTATTCTCTCCTCTCCCTCTTGGCTTACAGGCGGCACGCCCAAGTTTAAGAGATGAAGAGAGATTTTTTAAGGTAAAAAACTCGTAGATTGAATCGTCATGTTTTAGCTAGCTAGCCAATTGCAGTTTTCATGCGTTGTTAGTTTGGATAATTCAGTAATTTTTTCTCTCCTCTCCCTCTTAGCTTACAGGCGGCGCGCCCAAGTTTAAGAGGTGACGAGAGATTTTTTTCAACGGTAAAAAACTCGTAGCCTGAATAGACCATGTTGTACTAGCTAGCCAATTGCAGTTTTCATACGCTGTGTTAGTTTGGTTACTCTTTCCTCTCCCCCTTAGCTTCCAGGCGGCGCGCCCAAGTTTAAGAGATGAAGAGAGATTTTTTTAGATTGAAACATTCGTAGTTTGAGTCGATCATGTTTTACTACCTAGCCAATTGCAGTTGCAGTTTTTACGCTGTGTTAGTTTGGTAAATCAGTAGATTATTCTCTCCTCTCCCTTTTGGCTTACAGGCGGCGCGCCCAAGTTTAAGAGGTGAAGGGAGATTTCCTTAAAGTGAATAGTACATAGCTAAAATCCATCGTGTTTTAGCTAGTAAATGCAGCTTTTTTTACATTGCTTTAGTTTGTATAATTCGGTAGATTTTTCTCTCCTCTTCCTAATGGCTTACAGGCAGCGCGCCCATTCTTAAGAAGCTGTGATAAAGTATAAAGTAAGTCACAGCTTGAATCGATCGTGTTTTAGCTAGTGGTTACAGAGTTGTTGTTTTTGTTCATATTTTGTTTTTGTTAGTGTATATAATTCAGTAGATTTTTATTTTCTCTCCCTCTTAAGTCTTTAGCTCTTATGCGATGCGCCCAATCTTACGAGGAGTGGTGCTGGTTTCAAAAGCGAAATTTAGTCATTGTGATTTTTTTTCTGA